TTCCTGACTCCAAACACCCAGTTCCTAGGCAGTCTAGGGACTTATTCCTGCAGAAGTCCCATCATAGGTGCAGCCCAGGCCCAGCCATGGTGATGGCATCCGGTGCCTGGCACCTGGCAGGCTATGGAGTTATTGGAGTCCCCATGCAGGAGGCTTTCCTGAGAACACAGTCGGACTCAGGGGAGAATAGCAAGGAGACAGAGAAGGGACACAAATCCCAGGCACGGTATGTACTTCCTGGATCTAGCCACTCCTGAAGTCCAGGTATTTGATAACAGTGGCTTGGTTTTCTGGTTGCACTGGTAGGAAGCAAGTTTCTTTCACTTTCCTTAGCAACCAATTCTCATAGTTGTCATCCATTTCAGGGCTATTTCCTTAAAGAAAGAAACTGGTTGGTTGTCCCTGTTGTTTTTAATCTCTCAAAAGTTTTGAGAGCAAGTCACCGTGGCGCAGATGCTGCATGGTTCCTCCCCACACCTTTCAGCCAATAACAAGCTAACATCCTTTGTGGACTTTTCAAATTGCCTTTGGGCAGCTGGGGTGGTCATTGGACTGAAGGCCAAGGGGCATGGGGAAGGGCTTCTGCATAAGCTTCTTCCCCACCTTCCTAATGAAGGCCCAAGCCACCCGTGAGCATCCGTCTACGGTAAGCCAGGTCTGGGTGCCCCCCCGGGGGGGTTGCAGCTGCACCCCCTGTGTTGGGCTGCCCCGTCCTGTCTCAGAGCTGGCCATGACCCCAGGGCCCTGAGCATCCTGGGTTTGTGAGAGCTCCCTGGGGAAGGCTCTAGCCATGTGGGGGGGGGGGAAGCAGCAGACCAAGGAGAGCATGAAATCAGGCATGAGATTTACTGTAAGCAACTGGAGATCTTAAGAAAGAAAATAAACGGCTTGAAATCAAGTGGAAAAAAAATAAACCCTTTGCAAGACTCTGCACACAGCCCGAGTAAACAAACCTCAAAGGCCTGTTCTCGACTGTTCTTTGGAGTGGTTGGGCTGTGCTCGGTGGGGACTACATCTGCCATGGCACCCGGCCCTGGCTCTGTTCTGGCTGAGGAATGGCCTTCAGCCAGGAGCACTGGCTTTGGTGCAGGGCGGCCTCCGGGCTTCAGGTCCTCTGTCACACGCTCACAATCATGTCATCCTTCACCAATCTCCAGCTGACCATCCACACCCACATCACCTCCCATCCAGCCACAAGTCTCGCGATGTCACCCATCCACACACACACTGCCTTTGGAGGGATCAGGTAGGTCTGCCCAGCCCTCCACTCCGCTTCTCCCTGGCGGAACAGCATTTGATCTTGGATTCTGTTATCTCGCTGGGTTCCCAGGACATGTTTTCAACTACTGTGCAAAGTAATCACAGGCCAGTCGGAAGCAGCATCAAAGGGTTCTCTGCAGAGCTGACTCTGGACTCCACAGAGAGTCTGATCATCTGCTCCCAAGGTTTTGAAGCTGGGTTGTTTGTAGAGCTGGGGCTTCTCCAAAGAGGGGTCCCTGGGCCATGGCCGGGGTGGGGGGGCAGATGTTAATGCCTTATTGGGAGTCAGGGGCCTCCCCGTCCCTATCCCATCTGCACCCATCAAAGTCGTCCTGTTGCATTTTCTTAACTCCTTGACCTTTAAATAGATGTTTTAAAACTAATCAGATTTTCACAATAAGGAGTCCACAAAGTACTAGCCCAACCCTGTCCTTCTGGAAATAAAGAATTAAGACACAGGTTGAGTCAGCCTATGGCTTGTGGGCAGCTGAATTGAGAAGGGGACCCAGGCCGCCTGATGCTACCTCAAAGTCACCAAGTGGAAGCTTTCATGTGACGCGCCACCCTGCTGGGGTGACTGAGCAGGATGACACTGGCACCTGCCAGTCTCAATGTCCATAAGAAAGCTCTTTGCCTGTGGCTCACAGGAGGCTGCAGGCCGGAAGTGGGTCTCCCAGTCTCAGGACAGTCCTCCTTGCCATGGACCACAGGAAGCCTTCAGAGGGCCAAGGTGGGGTGCCAGGGGACTGAGGGACCCACATGTGCAATGTGACTGGTTTATAATGGGGGGAGGATGCTTGCAGGGACTCCACTTAGGAAGGTGAGAGGACCCTTCCTCACGGAAGCCTCTGTGAGTGCCGAGAAAGTACGCGGGCTACGTGAAGTGGCTCCAGGGGGACTCAGGATCTGGCCAGCACCGGGGCTGCCGCTGTCCCTGTGCTCATTGTCATCCCTGTCTTTCCTCCTCAGGAAGCCCCTGGATCACAGGTGGGGGAAGGGCCAGCTGATGCCCCATCTGAGCAGCCCTGTGGACATGAGCACAGTGGTTACGAGAGAGCTCAGATCTGCTGCAGCAGCTCCAGAGACCCCCCTGGGCGGCCTGAGGTCGGGTTCCAACCTGAAGTCCTCAGTCTAACAAGATGTTTTCTTGAACTTGAACAAATCAGAGTTGGGTGCTCAAGTTCGCCTCTACCCCAGGTCCTTAGCTGGGCCTCTCCACCTACCCCTCAGCAGAGTCCAACCAAGCAAGGGTACCCAGTGCCCAGGAAGCCCACTGACATTCAGGAAGGATCTGCCACTTCACCACATCACCACAGAGGACCACCATGAACTTCAGGACATCTTTTTGTTTGTTTGGTACCAGGGATTGAACCCAGGGGCACTTAACCACAGAGACACATCCCCATTTAATTTTCATTTTGAGACAAGGTCTTACTGAGTTGCTCAGGGCCTCACTAAGTTGCTGAGGCTGGCTTTAAATTCTTGATCCTCCTGCCTCAGCCTCCTGAGCCTCTGGGATTACGGGCGTGCACCTCCACGCCCAGCTGGCTGGCATATCCTCATGGCTGCATCTACCGGGGAGGCCTGGTAGCCTCCACCTGGGGCACCAAGACAAGCCAGAGGCAAGAAAAACGCAGGAAAACACACAAGCTCATGGTCCTGCAGCGGCCACTGCTAAAGGCTCCCACCCTGTAGGAGCCGTGATAACCTGGTTCCCGAGGAAAGAGCCCGAGGAGTGACCAGGCCTAATGAACCTGTCTTAGTCTCAAGCTCAGCTCTGGCTTGGGCCAGATCGCCTGGGGAAACTCTGCTTGTCAGGCTCACTTGCTGTGTAACCTTGGGGGGAACCACTCCCCTCCCTGAGCCATGGGGACCACAGTGGCACCTGCCTAACTGGTTTTCATGGAGGATCAAAGGGTTCAAAGAAAAAGATTGGGCACAGAGGGAGCTTCATAATGCTGGTTGCCATTATCCTTACTGCTAATAGGACTTTCCTCTGTATTTGGACTTTCCTCTAAGGAAAGGGGAAGGCGAGAGACAGAGGAATGACAACCAACCTGTGCAGCCAACATCACAGCAGATCTCTATCTGGGGTCCTCTGGAAGGCAGAGGCCTGGGGAGGCCCAGCCTGTACCCAGAGCCTCAGGATACCTGCTACAGGGCCCATAGTAGGTCCTCAAGGCCCTGAGGGAGCAGCTGGACTGCATCTATGTGGGTCGGTGTGTGTGTCTATGCCTCTGTGTGTATATGTGTGTGTTTACAGGACTGTGACTTCAGGCCATGCACATGAGGCTGTGCAGGTCTAGGCTGTGGGGCAGAATTCCCCACCCTGATGCCCATTAGATGCCACAATCTAGACAGGGCACCACTGCTGCCCAGCTCTGTTGGATGGGACAGAGAGGGGCAGCAGCGGCCTAAGTCCTCCAGTTCTGACCCATGTGAAGAGTGTTCTGGACAGGGAGCATCGAGGCCCCATCTAGAAGGAGAAGACTCCACACTGGAGACCGCTTGTGATCACTCAAGCTCGGAGCCCAGACACAGGGCAGAAGGTCCCCTGCACAGATGGGGAAGCTGAGGCCAGCACTACCAAGCCTGGCCTACCTGAGAGTGCAGGCTTCCCCAGTGAGGCCAGAAGACAACCCCCCCCCCTCCAACACCTCCCGCCCAGGGATTAGGAAACCAGGCCCAGGGAGAGGGCGGGCGGCTTATGGTCTCCATGCACGTGAGCTCACGCCAGGAATGAGTTATATCATTATGGCAGGATTAGAAGAAAAATGCCATTAGAAAGCGCTGTGCACACACCGATTTAATAAGGTCAGTAGCAGCAGGCAGCAGGCAGGCCAGCACACGAGGTCCCACAGAGCCCCGCAATCCTCCTCCCGCCTGCAGCAGAGGCCCTGGGGGAGCAGCCACAGGCCAGCGGGGCCCAGCCAGGGCAGGAGGGCAAACATGTCCTTCTGCCAGGGCCTCTCCTGCCTGTGCATCTCAAAGCTGCCCAGGGACACTGCACTTCCCAAACCTGCTGGGAGTTGTTCCCAAATCTTCCCTATAAAGCACCTTCCCAAGGACGGTCCCCTCCCCTGGATCTCCATTCTCTCAGCTCCGCCTGCTTGCCAAGTGATGCCACCACCAAGTGTACTTTACAAAACTATCTCTGTACTATTCGTCTGCTGTGCTCCCTAGGGATGGTGCCCAGGTGGTAAATACAGACAAGAGGCCTAGAAGACTCCAGGGGAATCAGCTTCATGGAAGAGCTCAGCTCTAGGGCAGCCTAGGAGCCCGGGGTCCAGCAGAAGAAAGTCAGGGCCACTGGCATTTCTAACTCTCCCTCTGGGTACCGCCCAGGACTCCCAGCAGGCTGCTGGTGGCTGCAGGAGGGTCTTGGCCTACAGAGAGACCCTGCCCTGCAGCCATTTCCCAGGGTCTGCAGCCATTTCCCAGGTCTCAGCCTCACTGCCCACACCCCTGCACAAGTAGCAAGGATGAGAGCCTTAAATGTGCACACAGCAGTTACATGCAAGCTTGCAGAGGTCCCTCTTGAGTTGTCCCTAGCACAAGTGGGGACACCACAGAGAAGGGGACCTTGGAATATGTAGGACGGGCCTGCTCTGCTCTTCCACCGGCACTTCCCTTCCTCTGCTGCCTCACAAAGCACCAAGCCCTGCCCTGGGCTCTGGGGAAGGAGCACAAGGAGACACAGATGGCCCCAATCCAGAGAGTTGACAGAGAAAGATACTCACAGTTCCAGGGACCTGGACAGGATGGCAGACAGGGTGAGCAGGATGCATCCATAGGGGCCTGCTTGGAACTGGGAGAGGAGAGGGGAGTGAGTATCCTCCACACACCTCCAGCCCTCAGCCTGACACTCTGGGGGCTCCTGGACTCACAGCCTCCCATCAGGTGGCCACAGGACAGACCTTGGGTAGGTCTCACCAGCCAGGTCCCCTCAGCATAGGGATGCACCAGCCCAAGTGACGGAGGGGCAAAGCACAGGGGCACCACAGAGCTTGTCCATGATGTTGGAGTCCTTGAGGTAGCCACAGTGCCTCCATGATGGTGCAAGGGTCTTGTGGCCACTGTCACACCTCACACACTAACAGACTGGTATCCTTACTCTTTTCTCTCTCTACAATGTCAGGAACTGAGGCTCAGAAACTGAGCCACTGGTCCTTGGTCACACAGCTCCTCGGCAGCACAGAAGGAGTCCAGGGACTCTGCCTCATGCTGGCTCCTTCCACAGAAGACTCCTGTGCCCAGTGCAGGTTTGCAACTGGGTCAGACCAGGTGAGGCAAGGCAGGTGGGCCGCGAAGGGCAAGCGAGTGTCTCCTTTGTACATTTTGACATTTTTAAGATCATGGATTGGTTTTAACTAATTTTGATTTTTAAAAAATTCTATTTATACTGATCTCTGAGGATTTGGGGGGGTATGGGTTTTTTTGGGGGGGTACAGGGGATTGAACCCAGGGGTACTCAACCACGGAGTCACATTCCCAGCCCTTTTTCTTTTAGTATTTAATTTAGAGACAGGGTTTCACTGAGTTGCTTAGCACCTCACTTTTGCTACGGCTGGCTTTGAACTCGCAATCCTCCTGCCTCAGCCTCCCTAGCAACTGGGATTATAGGCGTGCACCCCAAGTTTTTGCACCTTGCAGCCCAAACAAGCAGCTCATGTTTCTCCCCCAGTTCCGATCCTGGTTTGGAGCCATTTCCTAGAGCTTGGCTTCCTGGGTTTAAATCCTGGCTCTGTCACTCCTAGCATATGACTGTGAGGATGTTTCTCAATTCCTCTGTCCCAGGCTTCCCAACTGTAAAATAAGAATAATCACAGGAGACCCTCACCGAGTCACTGTGAACATTAAGTAAGCTAGCTCTGTAAACCCAGAGCAGGGCCTGGCATCTGTGTTGGCTCTTACCATGACGCTAGCTCTGCACTGTCTGCTTATCCAATGAGTGCAGTTGGCTACAGCCTCTGCAATAGGGATGATAGTTTGCTCCCTAAAGAATCACTATTTCCCAGGTGTAAGCCAGTGTGAAGGCCTTACTCATCCCACACTGGAGATGATGAACTGTGGTTGCAGAAACTGCTTGTTAAAATAGTCAGTCTTCCTGATGTGCGATCAATTTCTTTTTGGATTTAAAATGGGGCGGGGGGGGGGGCGGGGAGCCCCTGTTCTTAGTACTATCACGAGAACTATATAATTTATTACATTTCCATTTTGCTTTGGCTACCAGGAAGCTCAGAGCCAAATGTAGCATCATCCTTTGGTAACTACAACTGCTCAACCTTCTGATATAATTATCTTTTATTTTTCTCAAAATATAGTCTTTATTTTCATCGAGTTATTCAAGTAGTCAGTTCATCAGTAACCTTCAAAGCTTACTTAGTGAAATTTCTGAGCCAAGCAGATGCTCCCTGCTCAGGCTATACTTGTACATAAGAAGGACATAGATCTGCCCTCTCAGGGAAGTCGGCAGGGAAGAACAGTGAGCATTTGGAAAAGGGGGCTCCACTGGGGCCAGCTCATCTGGAAAGACACAGGAAGGGCCTCCACAGACATCAAGCTCAGGCAGGGAGGAGGCCCAAGGAAGGTATTATGGAAGCCTGATGTCTAAATACAAACCCCAGGAATCAGAAGAGAAGTGAACACCACTCCTAGCATGGGAGGTATGTGCACAGGCCCCAAAGCGGGCAAGTTCACTGTGCTAGGGCCTAGAAGAGCCCAGTTTGGGGAAATCTAAATGAATGAATGGATGAATCCACGACCATCTTAAATTACCCTTCCCTGAATTCTGTGATCTCAACCCAATTGCTTCACTTCTGTTACTCTCAGTTTCCCCAGTGTCTGCAGACATGTTCTGACCACTGCAGAGTTATGTGGATGTCCTGCAAAAGAGGACACATACCTGGGGGGTGGGGGGGGTCCAAGCCCCTGCAGACCTGTGTCACAGCTCTGCTGCTGACCTGCATGCTGGCCTCTCCTTCTGGAATACCTACGCACTTCTGCCACGGACCCACACCTTGTTTGGGGGAAGCCCTGGTACTTTTGAGGTCTGTCTCCCCTCCACGTGATACCTACAGTCCACAGGACTGAGATGAGGAAGGACGTGGAAGTCCTGGTGAGCCCTAGCTGGCTGCGAAACTATGGGGAGGTTTGGGTGGGCATTTGCCCAGTCCTTGGCCCACCCTCCAGAGCCTTTACCCTGAGCCCTCTGCAGAGGCTGGGGAGATGAACCCCACCTGGGGCTTCCTGCCCTTGCCAGAACACAGTGAATGGCACCAATATTCCATTTTGCTTTTGAAAACATTGATTAAAATTATCTCATCAAATTCAAGCTGCCAAGACTTGGGAGGCCACGGGGCAAGGCGCCGGCTGGAAAGGCGAGCCCCGGCAGGCAAGTTGGTCCGGAAACCTCACTTAGGGGCCGGAACCATGTCTGGTGCCACTCGGGAAGAAGGGGCCATTCTTCCACCCCTGATCTCCGGCCCTGGAGAGACCTGAGCCCTCCAAAGGACTTCAGTGGGCCGGAGGGGGGGGGCGGGGGTATCCCAGAGCCAGCCCGGGGCCTGCCAGACACCTCGCCCAGAGGTGAGCGGTAATGAAAACCCAGCGAGGAGGCTATTTATTTTGGGCAGAGACGGTCTGGTGTACATTTCCAGGCCTGGCACCAGGAGCCCCTCTGAGACCCAGCCCATGAAAAATGGATTTGGTGAACCTAGTGCTGAGGCAGCTCCGCTGCTTCCAGCAAAAACATAAATCAAGCTTCAGGGGGAGACTCCGGCTGCCAGATTGAGAAGGGCCAAATACTGAATGGACCGGCAGAAGCGGGGAGCCAAAGCTGGCCAGGGACGGACAGCTCGGGGTCAGAGGCCTTGAGGGTCTCTCTCCCTGCAGCAGCCATACTCTCCAAGTCCCTTTCACAGTCATTTTCATGCCTAGGCTTCACTGAAACCCGGGGACACAGGCCAAGGGGTGAGACCCATGTTACAGATAGGGATACAGAGGCCCTGGCACTGCTGGGCAGCCAGAACCTTTGGGGATAGTTACAAGGCCTCCAAAACATGAGCCATTGGAGTGATCTCCCTGGAGCCCCTCCTTGGCCCCCAGAAGCCTCAGCAATCACTTCCCTTGCCTGACTAGGTAGCTCCAGGCCCTGCCCCATCTGAGGATGTGACATGTGTGACCTTAGTCCTGGCCACCCTGGTGGAGTCCACACACTGGGTTCATAAGTCTCTCAGGTGCACTCTGGGTTGAACAGGGGACCCCTTCCTGCTGACTCAGACTGCCTGTACTCACTCCATTTGGAAAATATGCTTCCCGGTGTCTAAGTTTCTCCTTGACCACCCCTGTTGGAGCTGGAATCTGTAGTCCTTCACCTTCCAGATGAGGAGACTGAGACCCAGGGACCTCTGCAAGGCTGCATGTGGGCAAGCAAGAAGGCAGAGGGGGTCCAGTCTCCTGGTCTTAGCTCATATTGTAAGATTTCCCTCTTGTTTTTACATGTCTATGGCTCACCCATCCCAAGGTGGAACTAAACCACCACGGCAACAATGGACGCCCACAATGAAGGAGGACATTGCACAAGGCCCCGAGGCAGATGCTGCTATTACCCATGTCTGGCAGAGGAGAAACTGAGGGATAGAGGAGCTCCATGTGTTGTCTGAGGCTTCAGAGCTAGTAGGGAGCTAACCCGGATCCAAATTCAGGCCAATTATCTCTGGAGGCCGAGTCCTCTGCCCTTGGAGAGGGCAACCTCCTCCTCTGCACAGCCAGGCTGCCACAGCCCCACTGGGAACTCCCAGATCCCTCTGGCTGCACTGCTCCTGACCCTGGCCACGTCCCTCCTAGCTCACAGTAGAGAGTGGGTGTACAGTTTACAGACTGGACACTGCAGGGTCCCTGCTTGGGCCAGTCCAGCCTCCCCAGGACACCAGGTGAGGTCCTGTCCCAAGCAGTGTCCCCGAGGGCACTGCTTGCCCTCCAACCCTGACTTGGAAGCCACTTCCTTTTCTCCCAGCTGGTCCTAGGACACACCCACTGACACAGAGGAGGGTGCTTGCTCCTGGACACAGAGACAGCTCTGCAGCCACCATCTCATTGCTGCTTCTCTTTCTTCCGACCCCACCAGTCCTAGCCCTGCTCTCTGCAGCCCCAAAGCTAACTTGTGTCCATGACCAGCCCACAAGGATGCGATGGACAGCCTGGAACTCCTGCCCCAAGTCCACCCTCTCCAGACACATCACCCATCATCCTCAACGCCACCACCCAGAGGCCCAGGTGCCCTCCTGCCATCTTGGCTGATGGAGAGGACAGCTCCAGGTCACCAGCATCTCTCCCACAATGAAATCAGAAGGCTCAACACTGCCCATCCCACAAACAGACGCCGCGGTTCATACCTGATGAATGCTGTACTGAAGGAAAGTCACCAGCTCCTCGTAGCAGGTCAGACTGTGCAGTGTGAGCTGGGAAGGAACACACACTTGTGAGCTGCCATTTCCTCGGGGCCAAGCCCATCCCAATCCCGGTCAGAGCCTGTGGCCCTGGCTTCAGCCTCTACACACCCCACTGTGACCCTCCCTAGGCTGAGAGTAGCAACCTGCAGAGCTGGCGCTGGGCCATGCCCCACATCTAGTGCAACTCAAGGCTTCCCAGAACAGCCAGGGTCTCTGGGGGTGAGGCTGCCCAGCAGCAGCCCTAGGCCCACCTTTAGAACCCCAAGAATGTCACAGGTTGTGGGACTAAGCACAGGACCCAGCATTGCACGTGGCCACAGGGAGGGCTGCACCCTGCATGCCAGTCATAGCTGAGAAGAGTCCGGGGATGGAGGAGGCTAGCACATCCAAATCACAATGCCAGGTTAGGGGAGCCCAACAGGCCAGGTCCTGAGTTAATGGAAAGCAGCAAATATGAGTCCCCTTTATTTTCTCAGGTAGGTCTGAGAGGGGAAAAAAAAAAAAAAAAACGCTTTAAAAAATTAGCCAAGTGAGGCCCTTAATTAGGGTCCCAGGGTCACATTGGCCCAAAGCTAGGTCAAATAAAACAAGTGGGTTAAAATGAAAATTCTAGCCAGGGGCAGTGTTGCACGCCTGTAATCCCAGCAGCTTAGGAGGCTGAGACAGGAGGATCACGAGTTCAAAGCCAGCCTCAGCAAAAACGAGGCACTAAGCAACTCAGTGAGACCCAGTGTCTAAATAAAATACCGAAAAGTGCTAAGGATGTGGCTCAGTGGTCGAGTGCCCCTGAGTTCAATCCCTGGTGCCAAAAAGTAAAAACAGAAGATTCTAAACAGATGGCAGTTTTTTTTGTTTTTTTAAACTTTCTAAACTTTTTTCAACTTCACTGCTTTCATATTTTCAAAACAACCAACAGGACATTTCTCATTTTTTCACTCTGTACCACGTCTGGCTTCGTGGCAAGAGCTCCATGCTATCAAAGTCCTTCCCCACCTTCTAACTGCCTCTGCAGACTGGCACCATGGTACCCCCCCACCTAGGTCTTAGAAAAGAGGCTGGAGAAAGAGGAAGAGGGACCTGGGTGAGGGCTGGGGCTCAGCCCGGGGTGCTGTGTACAGGCTGCTGGGGACCCCAGGCCTGCGCGCCCCCGAGGTGTCGGGACTCACTGGCCACAGAGCCAGCGCTGGCAGCCGCCCACCCCCAAAGCCAAACACCTCTGTCCCCTCCCCAACCCGGGGGCGTGGACACGGTGGGCGCGGGCTGCAGGAAGGGCCCGGGCATCCCCAGCTGGGGGAGGATTTACTTATAGGAAAGGAGACAGTCCCCAAACAAAGCCAAAGTTTGCGTGATAACTTTCCAGAAAGCCGTACTGTTTCTAAGACTCCGTCGGCTTTGTATTTCCCCGTCGGGCTGAACTGCTCGCTTCCAGAAGACCTAAAAAGGCAAAGACGGTGCGTGAGTCCTCTGCCAGGAAAGAACGCCCTCCCGCCAGCACAGGACCGCATGTGCCTTCCCGTGGGGACCAATGGAAGGTGGCTGCCGAGGACAGAGGAGCCAAAGGTGTCTCGGGTTTCCCTGCTGCAGACTCACCCCCGAGCCTGGGTCCAGGGCCTCACGGGGAAGGGGAGAAAAGAAAAAAATGGAAAAACAAAAAGAGCAGGGGGTGCCCTTGGAACAGCCAAACCCACACCCTGGCAGTGGGAAGCCTGACTCCCACCACAACTGAGGATTGCCTGCCCACGGGAATGTTGGCTGGCAATGCTGGCCCTCACGTCCACTGATGGGGGGGGGTCCCAGCTCTGCCTCTGGAGCCTCCTCCCTGCGACCCCCTGGTTAACTTCCCTTGGTGTGCAGAGCAGTGTGGCATGGACAGGAGTAGGGCTTGGATTTGGAACCCTCTGTACCACTAGCTGCTGTGTGGCCATGGACCCGCCACCTTCCCTCTCTGGGCTTCTGTTTCTGAATCTCTAACACAGTCAGAAATACAATTCCGACCTCATCTGCTCTTAGTGCTGCTGCAATAGATGCTAAGGGCCTAGGTTAATAAGCTCCCTGGAACACAGTACAAAAAGACAGGTAATAGGGACTGGGGTTGAGGCTCAGTGGCAGAGTGCTTGCCTAGCATGTGTGAGGTACTGGGTTTGATCCTCAGCACCACATAAGAATAAATAAATCAAATAAAGGTATTGTGTCCATTTACAACTAAAATTTTTTTAAAAGAACAACAACAATAATGACGATGATACCTCACCTCTACTTTTGTGATGCTTAGTGTGTGCCATGCGCTGTCCTAAGCACTTCACATTTATTATTTATCACCAATTTATACTGATAAATGATTCAGATAAACAATGTTATTACATTTATTACATATCATTTATTTATATTGACTCATTTAGTTCTCACAACCATCCTATTAAGTAATCATCACCATCATCCTCATTTTCTAAACAAGTAAACATGAGGCTCAGAGAGGAGAAGTCAGCTGCCTGAGGTCACATAGCCAACGAGCAACAGCTTCAGAGAGTCCCTTCTCATAAACCCTATGCTACAGTGACCAACGTGCGCCCCAGAGTGTGCTTCTTGGCCCTCCAAATTACTTCCTTTGCTAAAGCTAAGCCACAAATTTAAAAAATTGAAAGGGCTGAGAATGTACGCAGTGGTAGGGCCAGGACAAAGGGATGCTTACGCTCTGAGGGGTCGAGGAGAAGAGGCAGCCAGTGAGCTCTGTGGACTGTGTGGGGCAGGACAGAGGCCACAGGGAAGGGCCCAGGTGGATCAGGGCACAGCATCCAGGGCCTGGGCTCCACCATCCTCTGCTCACCCCTCTAAGGGAAAGGGCAATCCTGGGGGGACCAGGGAGAGCAGCGGGGTCAACCTGAGGGGCTATTTCTAAGGCCTCCAGGAATACAGCGGGGAAGTGGGTACCTGGGCCACAGGTTCTCAGGGGCTCCCAGAGCTCCCAGGGAGGCAGGCTGCGCAGACAGGAGTGCACCTTCCCAGGTGAGGGCTGCAGCCCGGGCAGTCAGCAGAGCTGGGCAGAGGGTCTGTGCCCTGGTCCATCCTGGGGCTCCCCAAACACACAGTCCATCCACCCCACAGACAGGAGAGCTGCAAACAGCTGGCCTGCCACCACGGCTGGCGTGGCCCTCGGAACCACTTACAGCGCCACCACAGCTCTCTGTCGGCCCCCAGCCCGCCACAGGATGTCTGCGATGGCCAGGGTGAGGCAGCGGGTCCTGTGGGTGTCTGAAGGCTGCAGCTGCCTGAGAACAAGAAGGACAAGCAAGCAGGAATGCATCGATGCCCACAGCACATCAAGCAGAGGTGGCCCAGCCCAGGGGGATGCCTAGGCAGCCCCTGTGCAGATGGCTCTTTTCCCCTGGCTCCCAGAGGATCGTTTGCAGCCTGGGAACTTCATGGCCACGCCCGGGGAGGAAGGCCCTCTGTGGATGAGAGCCAGGGAGGACCCAGGAGTCGGGTGCTGGTGGAGGCAGCCAAGGCACTGGAGCAGGGGATCCAGGAGACCTGGCAGGGCCCAGAGGGTGCCGGCAGGACAGGAGACGTGGTGCAGCCTGGCTTGCTGGATGCTTAGAGACAGAGTGTGGGAGGAGGGAGAGGGGGAGGCAGGTTGACCCTTGTGGCTTTGGGCTACACGTTGGTGCCACCAGCCTAAATAAGGAGCATGTGGCTGGAGGAGGCAGATGTGGTGGGCGGTGACACGCTGCACCTCCGACTTAAAGAGCAGGGGGTGCACGTGGATCTCCAGGGGGAATGTCAGACCCACTGAAATACAGAAGGGGGGCGGGACTCAGCACAGATTTCCCAGACAGAAGATGAAGAAGGGGCAGTGGCCAAGGATGAGTTTCATTTGTGGTACCAGGGAGGCTGACAAGGAAGGGTCAGAAAGGTGGGGCAGAACAGGAGACCAGGCATGGCACAATCTAGGCACAAAAGAACTTTAACCAGCATAGCACGCCTGAAATTTCAGCTACTCAGGATGCTGAGGCAGGAGGATTGCAAGTTCAAGTCCAGGCTGGCAACTTAGTGAGACACAGTCTCCAAATAAAAAAAATTGAAACAGCTGGGGTGTACTCAGTGGTAGAGGCTTGCCTAGCATGTACAAGGCACTGGGCACTGGGTTTAATCCCCAGCAACACACACACACACACACACACACACACACACACACAATTACAGAGCTCTCTTGCAATAAAAATGGTGACTAAGAGGTTCCTGGTGTGTGGAGGGAACGAGAGGGTGGACGGGAGACAACCAAATATAGACGTTTCTTTCCATTTGACATTTCCAGGACTTGTTAGAGCTCTGTCTGGCCTTCTCCTGCAGGCTGGGAATTGTTTCTAAATTCATACAAAAGCTAGTGTGACTGGTTCTCTCTTCCTAACAGACAAAGGGGTTTGAAGAAGACTCTCCTGGGTCAGAGGAGTGCAAAGTGGGGGATTCCAGGCTTCCAGGCACCAAATCTCATCTGAGCTCCATACCTCAGTGTGCAAGGGAGACAGTAGTGGCATTTCTCCCTCCTGTCCAGGGCAGAAGAAGGGAATCAGGAGACCAGGACATAGCCACCATGGTGAGCAGCAAGCCATTGCTGACCAGTGCCTGGGACATAGAGCCAAGGATTCCACAGACAAGCTGTTGTGGCCCCACTAAGGTAAAATTAGAGGCGGTAGGACCCCAGGCTCCCTCCGTTTCCCCATCCAGAAATGGGCAACAACAGTGATTCCTCTCTGATAGTGCTGGGAACTTTAGATGAGATGATGTTTGGGAGGCCCCTGACTCAAGACCTGTCCCCAACACTTCCCATCACTATTGCCCTGTGAAAAACTCAAGTCCTCGCTGGGGTCAAATCCACAGAAGGGGAGACCCCAGCATCCAGCGTGAACTTGGCCCCAAGCTCCTGCCCCTGGAGACCCTTCAGACGGGCACTCAGGCACTCGGGGAAGTGAACCAGCACACCACCTGCTCCTTCGGGCTCAGGAAGCCCATCGTGTTCCTCACAGGAAACGGTTACGGTGCAATCGCCAAACCGGATGACCCAAGCTATCGGGAGCCCCGGCCCAGGTCACCCGCTAATGAGGAAAACAACGTTGAGAAAACACTGCTCTAGGTTTCAAGAGAGGCCACGCCAAGGACAAGAGGGCCACGAGAGCAGAGCTTGCGGGACAAAGGAGAAAGAATTGAACGTTTATCTCTTTGGAATCAGAACCCACAAACGTGGCCTCTGACATCCTGGGTCATTCCATGTCCTGCCACGTCCTGTCGATCGCACATCTGAGTCTCACCTCCATCCTGCTCTGGGTCCTGCCCACAGCTGAGCTGTTGCCGATGATGCCCGCCAGCGTTCCTGCTCTCTCCTGCCCCACCTCCTGTCCCCGTCACGCCTACTCACTGTGTGTATAGGGAGGGGACCTCTGGCAACAACACAGCCCTCCTGGCATAGCCACGGCTCCTGATTAGAACACCTGACCTGGGTAGGAGCTGAGCAAAGGTGTGCACGGCTCACACCTGTGCTGCAAAGCCTCCATGTCTGAAATCAAGGGAAGCCTTTCAAACCCTGTGCTCTGTGCCCACCGACCGGAGCAGGTCATCCTGGGTTGGAAACGTCAGTGGAGCAACAAGGAAGGTCTAAAAAGCCAAAGCACCACAGAGACCCTGTGGAATGCAGCCTCGGAATCACCTCTTTAAAAGCCCCCTGTTCCTGCTGATGGGCAGAATCAGCCTCTGGGACAGGAGTCCCCTCTGTTTCTCCTTCGCTAACAAAGCAATAAAACTTCTTTTCCTTTTTTCTCAAAAATAAAATAAAAAAATAAAAACCAATACATATTGAGCGGGTGTTGTACGCTCTATATCATGACATCAAATCATGAAAGCACCCCACGAGGTAAGACCTGTTATCATCCCCTTTTAAAGTGGGGAAACTGAGGCCCCAACACTACATGATCTATCCAAGGTCACACTGTTGGTAAGAACTAGGAAAGAATAAACACTGAGGAAGAAGGAAGGGAGGGAGGGAGGGGAGCCAGAAAAGCAGAACCAACTGTCCTGGGTACTTAGTTTCTGGAGCCAATGTCCCTTTGCCTCAGAGCCTGTCTTTTCAGCACACAATCAAGAGCTCTTGCTCCTGAGGTGGCCCAGCTCCCCATCTGGGGGGCTTTGCTCGCAGCCCCTCTCCCGGTCTCTACTCCTAAATCCCTCTTTCCACCAGTTTCCGTGGAGTAACGTCTCCGACCTCTCCACCCTCCCTGGGCCTTCCCCTTCTTCTGTGTGAGACGTGCCTTTCCAGGAAACAGCAGAGCTGGGGTGTGCAGCGGTGGGGCAGTTAAGAGGCCTGGGTTTGACTCCTGACTTTACAGGTCTGGGGCAGCCCCATGCCACCCTGGCCTCCATGCCCACCTGGAAACATGGGCACTGAGTCAGACACCCCTGGCATCACCCTGTCTTGCCATCTGTCATGTAACCTGCCCCAGGGCCGACAGGGCTGAGCGTGAGGGCACAAGTTCTTGTCCCACAGGCGGTGACAGTGGAAGTCACCCGAGCCTGCCTGTACCACGCACACTCCAGGTTCACCACACAGCTCGCTGTAGCTTTCACAGGGACACCTTGGTGACTGTGGAGGAGGTCCTGTGTGGCTGAGCAGCTGACACCCATCTGCCACGCTCCTACCAGGAATCTGGCACCTGGCAGGGCTCTTGGGGGAGGGAGGAGTTTCTTCAAGAGTCCAATTCCTCCAGGAGAAGGGCAGCCTGAAGAGGTCTGTCTGGGGAGGGGGAGGGCAGAGCCATAATACGTCCCGAGTCTGTCCGAGTGTTTCAGAGGGAAGACACATTCTACCCCAATTATCTCAAAACAGCCTCACCTGTCCCCTCGGATGGGCCTATGGAGATGAAGTCTATAGAAAGTTCAGGAGACAGTTGTCCAGCGTGTGCAGGCCCAAGAGTCCTTGCTCTCTGCTCCCTCCCAGGGTCAAGAGAAGGCAGGAAGATGGCTAGCCAGGGTCCCCAGGGCCTGAGTTCCAAGCCCAGCTCTACCACCAATGTCCAGAGGGGCCGAGGACAAGTGTCTCCCCTCCTCTGAGCCTTCAGCCCCATTTCAGAGAGGAAAGTGGGGGTAAGAGGACGCCATCCTTGGATTCCCCACCCCCCGCCACCATACCAGTTGCAGTGGCCTCTGCAGGGCCTCCCTGTCTGGGGCCCTCTCCAGGCCTGCAGGGCATTGAGACCTCATCTCTTCCCATGAGCCCAGCCGCACCAGCCCTTCCCGAGTGGAAAATCACCGTGGCCGACCGCCCGGCTCTGCCTGGCTGATGGCAGAGCGGCGGGCTGCCAGCCCGATAGATGAGCCTTAATGAAGCCAGACAGTCCTGCAGGAGAACAGCGCGGCGGCCAAGAGACCTTTACTTCAGCATGGCTTCCCTGGAGGTGCCAGCGCATCCCCTGCTCCACTTCCACAGGACCCTTTCCCTGTCCTCAAGGTCTGCAGACCACAGGGTCTGCACGGGGAGGCAGTGTCCCGAACACAGCAGAGGCGCTGACCTCCTTTAAAAAAAAAAAAAAATTTAAGCTGCATCATTACTGAAATCCTGGAATTTCCAAGTAGAAAGGGAGCGGCTGAAGTCTCAAGATCGGCCCAGCACATGCCACCCGTGGAGGAACCCGGATGGCCCGATCTATATCGACACAGTCCAAATAGGTCGGTGGGAGCCATGGAGCTGGAGTGGAGGAAGGTCCCTGCACACCTGCCCACGTGCCTCTGCGGTTACTCTCTTTTCTACTGTGCTGATTTTTTTTTTTTTTTTGCTAAATTAGGGCAAAAGACAGTCTCTGCCAACAACTCCTCCAAAAACAGAGCCACCCTTGGTTTCCGAGAGTCCAGAGGGTGCCCAGTCATCAGCTGTTTCAAACCCATGACCCTCAGCCTCTGCCCCCCCTACCCTCTCTGGCCCTTGTGGGACAGCAGCGTGGTGTGATAGACAGGGCTCCCGGGCCGGCTCAGCTCTGCCATGGTGCTAGGCGTGACCCTGAACGAGCATCTCTCCCTCACAGAGCCTCAGTTTCCCCATCTGCCCAGTGCAATGGTCTTGCTTACACAGCTCATGGAGATTTTCAAAGGGCTCTGTTTATATTTTCATCTTGAGTTGGGTTTAGGCCAGAGATGACTTCCTAACTCACAGGTGGCAAAGTGGGGTCCCTGTTCATCCCATCATAATCCAGGTCCCAAGTGCCTCCCCATTCCCCACACACACCTCCTCCCACTTCCTGGGCACTTGCACATCTGGCAGTGAGGACCTCCTGTGGCTTCTGACCTGGCCCCAGGCAGCCCCTCATCCACCAGCCTTTGGCCTAACCCAAGCCCCCGGAGGGCTCTGCTCCCTGCCTACTTGCCTCCAGCCCCTGTAGCAGGCCCAGGGAGAGGAGCTGAGGAGGAGATGCAGGTAGGAGGGCAGAGGAGGGCATTTGGACCCTTTGCCCACAACCCACCAACGAGGAGGAGGGGAGTCCTAACTGGGTCAGAGAGAGGGTCTCTGGGGACCTCCAAGCTCACCCCATCTGCCACCTCTCCCTGAGTGTCCTCAGGCTCCGTCAAAAAGTGCAGGGACTAAGCCAAGCTCCCACACCTCCCTGTCACTGGAACCTCTCAGGCCTGCAAAGCTCACCCCACATTATGCAGCACCCTGTGTGTGTGGCCTGGGGGCGGCAGAGGTCGGGGATGCAAGGCAGGGGGCGGGATACAAGCAGCACCCAGAGTTATAGGGCCCCAAGGAAAGAGACAGCATGAATGCTTCCAGACTTCGAGGAGAAGGTGGCCCTGACCAGCTGCTTGGCAAAGGACTCCTCCAGGACCGCCAGGCAGCCTTCCCACCCAGCTCCCAGCTGGGCACACCCCCACACACAAGTCCCCAGCAGAGTGCAACCGTCACCCATCACATAACCCCAGTGGCAGCCTCCCTCCTCCTCCCTGAGCACCCTCTTGGCCACAGGACCTTTCTGAGCCACTGTCCTCCACACACAGACACAAGCAGCCTGACCTCTGTGACTGCGAACCAGGCTAGCCCAGATGGCAGCAGACGGGGAGCCCCAGGGGTAAAGGCCGCATTCCTGCAGCCCCACTCTTCCCCAGCAGAACCCTGGTGGAACTGTCTAGTAGGAGCCTAAACAGACACTTGTTCATAGACATTGAGGCCTGGGTCAGTGTATAGCTGGAGCCAGACTGGCCAGCCATGGGAGGTGGAAAAGAACATGCCTTCTCACAGCCTGGTAGGGTTTTCTGTCTACCCAGAGCCCCCTTTGCTCCCCCAAGCTAGATGGGCTTCTTCTGCCTTCCAAGTCCCCATAAATCCCAATTCCCTCTTTGGTGTAGAAAGTAGAGCTCAGCATCCCTTAAGGGAGTGGGGTGGTGGGTGACAAGGAATCAAGCGCCAGCCTTAGGTCCTGGGCAGAACGGGCCCTTCCTACTGAAATGCTCCATTCTGACTACTGGGAAGTGATCCATGACTTTCCCCCGATGTCAAAGATCAAAAGTAACTTAGAAGGGGCTTTGGGCTGAAATGAGTCATAGGACATCTCTCCTCGGCTCTAAACTGGCTCTAAGACTGGCTAGAAACTGGCTCTAAGATCGTAGCCTGGAGCCCTTCTGGCAGCCCCAGCTGCATCCCACCCCCCACCCCCAGCCCCAGGTCACACCCTGCCCCTCCAAACACCACCAGGCCACCCCAGGCCACAAGCTGCTCTTCTCCCTGCCCCCAGGCCTTCGCACATCTTGTTCTCTTTACTGGAATACCAGGCCGCCTCCCCTCCCTGTTTGTCTGGATAACTCATTCATTAGTCCATGTGTTCATTCAACAAAAATCCTGAGGGCCTCTCCCGTGGACCAGGCACTGGGCTACGTGCCAGGGACACGCTGTAGAACAGGCAACCCAAATACAAGTCTCGTGGGACTTGTATTCTGCTGAAAGAAGAGAGACAGACACTACCTGGTGACAGGTAAGGGCACTGAGGAACAGGATGCGGCTTGGTGGAGTTACCGGAGGCAGGGCCTGGTTTATCCTAACTGGGGTCACCAGGCAAGAGGCAAGGTCAGAGCAGCAGGCAGGCAGAGCACCTGAGCACACAGGCCTGCCGACTGGGAAGACTTGAGGGTGATTGCCTGGTAGGAGGGGAAGAGATGAGGGGTGGGGGTCCAGAGTGTGCAGGGATATGTGTGATGGAGAATCCGAGGCTGTGTTCCTCCCTCAGCTATCACTAAGATAAAAATGTGCCCCTGCAGGAAGCCTGCACTCACCCACTTCACGTCTGGGTGACCCCTTAGCAGCCTGCATGTCCCCGTTCACCGCCTGTCCTGTTCCATCGTTAAGTGCCACAAGGGGAAGGCCACATGTGTCTCCTTGGGCCCTGTATCCCTGCCAAACACCTGGAAGGCATGCTCTGCACGCTCTCTCAGGGCAAATTAGAAAGGGAGGGAAGGAAGGGCCTGTGTGCTCACAGAGCCTCTGCACCCTTTGAAGTCAGCCAGAGGACTCTCACTTATCAGACGCCACCCAGTCAGGAGTGTTCTTGGGCACTGAGGACTGTGTTGGTCTCACCAGGAATCAATGGCGGGCGTCTCTGCCCACCATCATCTTGCTGGGCCAATCTTCCAGAACCGGCAGAGGGGAAGGACCCTGCACAGACCAGGGTGGGAAGCAAAGAGACACAAGAAGAGGGGTGCGATCCTGCAATGGCGGCTGTGCCTGTGCTTAGCAGTCTTCTTTGGGTTTGACAGAAACCACCTGACTATTATCTTGTAAAACTATTTGAAGAATTATAAAACGGTAAGTGTGGAAAGCTCCCCTCACTTGGACCCTGTCAAGGTCAAATCATTCATGCCGGGGAAACGTGTCTCCTTTGAGAGCTGAGCTTGGAATCTCTCCCAGGCACCTGTGAGTACAGGGGAGTGGGTCCTGTTATCTAAACAACACCTAAGACCTAACCCGATTTTTTTTCTTTTTAGAAGGCTCTTTAATACTTATTTCAAAGAGCAAGGATCTTTCAATAAAGTTAAGGAACTGGCAGAGCTAAGCTGTGGCTTCAGAATCCACTGGACTGTAACCCGGAGCAAGGGGACTCCTGGGAATGTTTTCTCTCTTGAGAAATTGCATACATTCAAGGACACGTGTGAAGGGAAATCCAGGACTCTCTTCCTCCTTCAGGTATCAGGGTAAAATGTCTTTTAATTGTATGTATAATATTTTCAACTAGAAGGAAAAACAAAGGGTGAATGCTAGAAGTGGGGTAACTCTGGGGTGACTTGCTATGAGCTAGAAACTAGGATGCAAGGAGGAGATGGTATGACCGCTACCTCCTCTGGGAGGCCTCGCCAGCCTCTGGCATCGGCCAGGACCTCACCCATCCTTTGCTCTCGGCACCAACCATGGTATAGGGTTACCTCATGGTGCATCTCTGGGGAGGAGACATGCATGTGGTTCTCCCGGGTGTCCATCATGCCTGCATAGAGGTGTTCCAGCCAGATGGGGAAGAGAGGGGGGTGCCCAGGTGCAAGCACTTAGCATGTAAAATGGAAAATAAACAGCTGCAGGGAGAGGAAGCCACGTGCTGTGGGGCCGGCTGGAATGTGCGGTTCTGACCATTGGCAGAGGGGAGATAACGTGGGAGGGAGGGGAGCCCTGGACTTGGTCACGGATCAGCACTTCGACGTGGGTGTGGACGGCATGGACCCTTCTGAGGAGGCAGCAGGCCCCATTTCCACACTGTCCAGCAGTGCCTAGCATGTGGGCGCCCCCCAATCCTCCCCTCGCCCAGAAACGAATGTCCGCATGTCCATTTAACACGGCCAGCACCACCCTGCTAGCTCACTGCCGTGACCCCTTCCTGTCGTGACCTCCAGGAGACGGGAAATATCAGGGAACACACACGCTTCCTTGCTTGTTTGTTCTGGATGCTCCGGAGAAGCCTTGGGAAAGGAAGCTATTGCCAGAATGAACCCTGACTTACCGCGCGCAGCGGGCTCCGCTCTCGCCTTCAAACAGGAGTTTCTGCAGCACGCAGCCCTGGACGGCCGCCAGAACCCCACAGGGGCCGCCCTGCAGAGAAGCGCGTGTTACCACCAAGGCCAAGGCGCCCAGGGCAGAGCTCTGCTCCACCTCCCCAGCCCCCAGCCCCCTGGCCCAGGTTATGGGGCCCAAGCCCCCACTGCTCCGCTCCCTCACAAAGAGGACCCTGACATGTGACTATCTGCAGTCAACGTTGACCCTGAGTCACAGAGAGGGGGCAACAAGGCCCCCAGAGGAGGGATTAGTCTACAATGTGTCAGGGGAGGAACATAACCAGCTAGGTGTGAAGCCACAGGTGTCACCATAGGTTTCCTGTCATCCAGGGAAAAGCTTCAATGTATACAGGCTATACACTGTCTACCCAGTCCTTGAAACCTATCCTAAAGGCCGTCTCCTCCAGGAAGTCTTTCCTGACTACCTCAGTTGGTAGTGAGCCCCTTCAGCAGCATCTGCTTATGTGAGCTCAGCTTGTGAGTCACCTCAGCACTCCAGGTGTGACTTTATCACCTCACATACTGTAATATGAAATTTCCAGGTGATGTGGTATACACCTGAAATCCCAGCAGCTTAGGAGGCTGAGGCAGGAGGATCGTGAGTTCAAAGCCAGCCTCAGCAAAAGTGAGGCACTGAGCAACTCAGTGAGACCCTGTCTCTAAATAAAATACAAAATAGGGCTGGGGGAGTGGCTCAGTGGCCAAGTGCCCCTGAGTTCAATCCCCTGTAGCACCTCCCAAAAGGGACGGTGGAACTGAGCAGCATCAACAGCCCCTGCAGTGCACCCGAGCAGACTGAGGGCCTCCTATTGTTCCCCCTCACCCAGGACCACTCCTAGCAAGTGGGTGCTCGGTTAGAATGACTGCTAAGCAGAGGGTCTGGATTTCCAGCTCTCACCCCACCAGTCACACGGGGAAGTTCCTGCACCAAGTGATACCTTGTCCAACATGAAGTGGCCAGCCCTGGATAAACCAGCCAATGCTTGTGGCATTACCCCAGCTAGGGGACATCCCCACCCCGACCGTGGTGACCCAGCGGAAAGCCCCCTGAGAACCCAAAGGTCAACCTGCCTTGTTCTGCACAATGCCATATTTTAAGGAAGCCGTGTCACTGAAGGAAAAACTCTGAAGTTTCCATTCTTCATTGAAGCAGCAAAAGCAAGAACCAAACAGAAGGGTCTTTATTTCCTGTGGAGAGAAGAAAGACTTACTGGTTGTTTTAAAAGCAAACACTGCTGCAGTGCTCGGTGCTCAGCTGGACTCAAATTATAGCAGGGCAGTGCCTTCGATGGCTGGGCTCCCTTTATTTTGCAAGCCCATTCTTCTCATGTTTGAGGGAAGAGAAACCCGGCCCTAAGGGTCTCACCTCTGCACATCTGTAAGCCAAACAAGGCTGTGCTGACATGGGCCAAGGTCTTCGTAGGTGCCTTACAGAGGACTTGAAACACAAGATTTTCATTTTGCAAGGGACCTTGGAAGTCTTCTGAACTTCCATAGGAAAGATTAGAAATTGACAAACCTGCCTCCAATTAAGTCTGAATTCCTGAGTGAGGGACTCTGGTATCAGCAGCTTTGGTTTTTATTTTGGTTTTGTTTTTGCAATGCTGGGGATCAAACCCAGAACTCCCCACATGCCAGGCCGAGCCACCTCCCCTGCCCGACTATCAGTACTTTTCAAACTGCCTCTGTGTGGTTCCACTTTGCAGCCAAGTCTGAGAACCAGTGCTCTGGTATGGGGTTGGCAAACTACAACCCACAAACCAAATCTGGCCTCCATGTTTTTGTAAATAAAGTTTTATTGATACACAGAGGTGCTCATTTGTTTACATTTTGCCTACAGCTGCTTTTACATTACAACAGCAGAGATGAGTATTTGCAACAAAGACCATGGGGGCACGCAAAGTAAAAAAATATATACCGTCTAGCCCTTTAGGGCCACCTCTGAGTGATCCCCAGTGAACTCTGCTTGAACTCCCCACCACCCCAAGAAGGGGCTCCAAAGGCAGCGGCCCCTTCATTTTTTCAGAGTCCTGTCTTTAGATTCCGAGATGATATTGAGCTCACTGTCCACCTCCCATCAACCCAAGCTCTGTGATCCAGAATGCAGGAAGGGCCCACCCCTCTCTACTCTCAGACCCTCAGAGGGGAAGGCAGAGCCTCCCCACCCCCATGTTGGACCGCCCTCTCATGGCCAGGGTTTTAGATCCAAGGGGACCCTGAAGCCTCAGGGACCCACAGGTAGATTCTCCAACTCTCAGGTCAGGCTTTTTCCATAGTCTCCAAATACTTTCCACTAGAAGTGGTGATTATTTCTTTCCTTGAGTGTAGGGAAATCTCTATGGCAGAAGCATCTGTGTCACCAAACGTGGGCCCATGACACATTGAATGTGTGAATTTGCCTTTCATGGCCAGTTCCCTTTCTCGTGCCAACTATAATCCCCCATGTGTTTAAACTGCGTTTCTCATTTCTCAAGAACCTAGCAACTACAAGGACTTGGACTTTCTGGCTAAACTCCATCTCCATTATCTGAGCCACAGATGATTCAGGCTCAGCATAGTGTAGCCCACAGCCTGCAATCTGGGCTCTACCTGCCATGGAGGCCGTGTGTCCTGAGCCCTCTTCTCTGTCGGCCTCCCTTTTTCTCATTGCTTTTGGACATGATCTTTAGGTCTGACCCCAAAAGGGAGTACCCTCTGCAAAGAATTCTGACCTTGTGGTTATAAGGCCAGAGCACCCACTCCCTGCTTTGGGGCTCCTGAAGTGTGTCTCCATCCTCTGGGAAGGGAAAGAAAGGGAGGCAGAGAGGAGGGAGATGGGAAAGGAAAGGACAAACCTCTAGGAAAACCCTGTACTTTGTGACCTGTGACCTGTGACCTGCTGAGTCAATCTGTAGTGAATAGGAAGAGAAGGAAGCCAGCTGTGTCCCCAGGAGGGTCTGTTTCACCTCCTGGATCCTGGCTGAAATGCCTATGGGGGACAGCCTCTGGCCAAGGGGAGCAGTGAGATCATGCTGGTGGCTGAGCACAGCAGGGAGTCCAGGACAGCTTGCAGAGCAGCCGCTAAGGCCAGGGACGGGCTCCCTGTGTCCTGTGACCACTGACCTCTTCAGGAGGCCCCAGGCATGAACCTGGATAGTGCTGAGGAATCGTTTGCCCTCCTTGTCCTTCCCTCATGGCAACCCAGCCAGAGCCCAGTGTGGGAGGCTGGCTTGGGATCAGAGCCAACCTCATGGGAACAATTACCCTGATCCCACCCCACTCTGGGGGTGTCCTTTAGGGATGCGGTAAAGCCGCTCTGAGCCACACAAGGAACTGGGTCCTCTGGTATTTGGACGGGGAGGGTGTAACCCACCCTTCTCCATCTAGGGGAAGCTCGACAGGACCTGAACCATTTTCCTGACCCTTGAGTAAGGTTTTCTTCTACATCACACCCAAATTTCCATTTCAACAATGACCAAGATATTACAATGAGAAGGACTGCACCAAAAATATCAAAATCACCGCACCCATATCAGGATGTATTTTAACGTGGAACTCTCCTGACACTTCCAAGTGGACACCTACCTTTGCTACAGAGAGGTCAATTGGCTTTGATGCTACTTGCAGCTTGAGTACTGATGGGGCTGGGGACAGGATGACCTCTTCCTTTATCGACGTATCATCCACATCCTCTGGGTGGGGGAGAAAAATAGACCACGTCATGACTCACAGAGAACAGAACATAAAGTCAATGGTGCTGTGTGACAAGTCCAGAGAAGGTTTGGGGGTTAGGATGGCTCCTCCAGCCTCCACCCCAGCCTCTGCTAGAGGCCTTAGGGCTTCAGCAGAAGGAAAGAAAACAGATCAAGAGGGACCTCACTCCTTGTCACGATCCCTCCCTGGTTATGCCATAATGATACGACAAGTGGGTGATACTTAGCAACGGGTCCACTAGGAAATGCCACATGGGGATACAGCATGAATGGAGTGCCTAGGACCCAAGACCCCAAGCCCGGCCAAGAAAAAGCCTAGCTCAGAGGCACTCCTACCCACAGCAGGCACGATGCACACATCTCTCACCCTGAGAAAAACGTGAGGTGGACAGAATTAGGAAAGAAAATGAAACGTTTCTGAAAAAAACAACTCCAGTCATAGTTTATTACTGTTGTGCTTTACATTATTGGCCTCTTGGATTGTGTCACCTAACCTGCATGAAGGAATCGTGCTTTTTTTTTTTTTTTTTTTCCAGTGCTAGGGATCAAATCCAGGGCCTCGTGCACACCAGGCAAGCCTCTCCCCCTGAGCTGCACCCTCAGCCCAAGAGAATAAAATGAATACCCCCAATGACAGACTTTGGGGAGTCACTGACCTCGAGTCAGGCAGATGGGAAGTGGCAGAGATAGGATATAGACCCAGGCCGACTGCTAACCATTCAGCCATCCTAGGTTCCTACCTGTCCTGGATCTCCTGCCAGAAGAGATGCTAAGCCAGATTTCAGATATAGCCCTCTTACAGCCGGAGCAACGGAGGCCCTGAGAGCCTCCGCCAAAGTCTTCAGCAGCACCAGCCTGTAAATTTCTAGCTGGGTGAGCTCCCCCACCCCAAAAAACTGGCCCTTCTAATACTGCCACTGTATACCAGAGCACTCAGATAGGGGACCCAGGGAGAAACCATCCCAAGGCAAGTGCTGGTGAAGCTGAGCAGGGCAGATCTGGGCAGTGGAGTGGGGGGTGTCAACAGGTCAATATCCCCAGGACACATAGCTTATACCTTCCTCTATAGCCTCCTTATTTCCGGTAGGGGAGAATTAGCCATAGCACAAGGCAAATGCCTGACACTCGGTGAATGAGGAGACAGATTCTACCTTTGGGCTGAAAAAAAAAAAAAGAAGTTGTCTGGGTAGGGCACTGTGTCACACGCCTGTCATCCCAGCAGCTTGGGAGGCTGAGACGGGAGATCGTGAGTTCAAAGCCAGCCTCAGCAAAAGGGAGGTGCTAAGCAACTCTGTGAGACCCTGACTCTAAATAAAATACAAAATAGGGCTGAGGATGTGGTTCAGTGGTCGAATGCCCCTGAGTTCAATCCCTGGTACAGCCCCTCCAAAAAAAGTCTGGAATTTACATAAGAAGATGAATTTAAATGAGAAGCCATCTAAATGGGAATCTCTGTAAAAGCTATCCTGTGACCATAGCTTTTTTATTCTTTTTTTTGTTTATTTTTTTTTTTTTTTTGGCCGTGCTGGGGATAAGCTCAGGGCCTCACACATGCTTTTACTACTGAGCCACAACCCCAACCCCTGTGTGACCATAGCTTTATAAAAGGAACTTGAAATAATAAAGAACAGATGTCTTCATTTCACCCAGCCACAGAAATGGCTCTTAACAACATGGTGCCCGGTGGAGAAAGTCAGAGGCCCAGCAAGGCACACAATACCAGGTAGCTATAGTGCCACACCACGTGTGAGAACACACACACAAGCGAAAAAGACACAGGAAAAGCCTGAGCAATGGTCGCTCCTGGAGGAAGAAGTTCTAGAGACGGTGGTTGGTGAAGATAAAGAGAGATCAGCAGGAAGAAAGGCAGAGGGAGAAGGGAGGCGGATGGGCAGAATTTTGCAGAGGTTGACATGGAGACCATTGGCTGGAAGAACAGAGATCTGTAATTAATTCCACCCTGGGAACCTGGGGCCCCAGACAAGGGGCAGAGTAACCTTAGTGACTGCCAGGCCCAGAAGGTCTCCTGGTGGTGACCGGGCCAGGCTACTTCCTGATGGCACAGAAGCGGCAGAAGCGGCGGTATGTAAGCCTATTTGGAGGCCTCTGTTTAGTCTGGGGTTGTCAGGGAGGAGGCCCTGTCTGAAACACGCTCTCCCTAGGCCAAGAGTGGTCCGGGGTGGAGGCTGGGAGCCCAGGGAAGCCAGCTCCATGAAGCACGGGCAGGAGGGGGCAGGCAGCCTCCGTTGGTTGGCTTCTACGGGGAGGAACTGGCCCAGTGCAGGGAGCGGGTTCAGGACCACATAGAAGGCCTCAGGCCCAGATGTGGCGAGACCGCTGTGCAAGGGAAAAACAAAGCGCTCCGGAATGACATGTTGGCCAAGCCGACTGAACCAGCTGCAAATGCCAGTGGTTTTCGAATGCTATTTTTAAGGTTCTCATATAAATGTCTGGTGGAAAAGGAAAGAAGCAAGGGTTTTTGTTTTCCCATACCAACGTTTTATCTACCCAGCAGAGGTTTAAAAATGAAATAAACATTTTTGGTGTGTATGTGTATACATAGATATATGTATATATATGATATGTATATATGTACATATACACACATATATATGGTATTTCAAGTAGGAGTCAAAGATACTAAGGAGAAAGATGCTCACCCTTTGGATTCTACAGAGACAATGGGTTACGTAGCTCTTTTCCTGTATGACCAATTTGAATGTGACATCTATATTAGTGGGTCAAGATATGTTCTAGAAGCATCCAACATCAGAAACTCAGCCATCTGCCAGGCTCTCGTTTTGATAAAGGACCCCATCTCCCTCCACCAGTGCCCCAGGCTGAAACTGCAACTCTCTCCCACCCGGCGTTGCTCCTGCCTCTGGATTTTTTCTGCCTCCGGAATGTCTTGTGTGTGCCCTCCACCTTCCTTCCTCCAATGCTACAGGAATCAGTGTCTCGGGTACTTCTCGGATGACTCTGTGAGGGACAGAGGAGGTACCGAGACGAAGAAGTACCACCCCTGCCCGGAGGGAGACAGTGCCAAATTGTAACATAACAGGGTCAAGTGCAGAAATAGGAACGAGTGCAAGGTTCCAGGGGCGAGACAATGAATTCTGCCATAAAGGGTCAAAGAGTCCCATAGAGATGGTATTTGAACATACCCCTGAAGTACCCAGAGGTCTTCCGAGAAAGAATAGGGGCCTCATCACATCTCTGGACTATCCCAAGAGCCCTTCTCCAGTCTCCAGTGTGCGGGTTTCTTACCCTAAAATCCATCCTATGCCTATGTGGCAAGACCTTGGCCATCCTTTAAGTTCAATCTAAATGCCACCTCACTATGGAAACTTCCAGAACCCACCACAGGACTTGGCTTCCATGTCGGCTGAGGCAGCCGAGCACACTGTTCATGTGCTTCATGCGCTGCTGTGAGAAGACACCTCTCCTCCTTGATCCCACCCAACTCTGTCTTCCAAGAAGGCACGATGTCCTTCGCTCAGCTGGGTCTGCCTTCAGTGGAGCCTCGCCCACACCCTGGCAGGCAGGAGTTGCTAACAAAATTTTACTGAATTGAACCCCAGAAAAATGCATCAGGGTGGGGAAGGGGATGCCATGCCGGTAACCAAATTCAACACTTTTTTTCTACACCACTGTGGCAACCCCTTCCCCCAAGCCAAATCTACTCTTCTGTCTCCCATAAACTCTCTTAGTGGGGCCAGGTGCAGTGGCACACCTGTATCCCAGCAGCTCGGAAGGCTGAGGATCACAAGTTCAAAACCAGCCTCAGCAACTTAGTAAGACTCTGTCTCAAAATAAAAAATAAAAAGAGCTAGGGATGTGGTTCACTGTTAATACCCCTGGGTTCAATCCCTAGAACTTAAAAAAAAAAAAAAATCTTAGTGATGGGGTCCACTGGTCTCTTTCCCTTTTCCTTTTCTACACCTCTAGCTGAGTCAGTAGCCGAGGGTGTCTGCCTGTCTCAGGAAACACGTGCACACACACACTCACACTTCAAACACCTGGTTTCTAAGAATGCTAAAGGCCTTCCTTCCACTAGATGCTCTCTGGGTTCTGAAGGCCAGAAGCTGCTGTGCTTTGTGTCCAAACCCGAGTGGCTTTCACCGGAAAATCTTCAAGTACAGAAGGCTTTGAATGCCAGGGCTTCCTGTCTCCATCCTTCACTCTGCACAGCCAGGTTCAGAAACGTGCCCTTCCTGGGTAGGCCCCAGTGATCCCCACCAGTCATTTCTGGTGATTAAAACTCAGAGGCTCCGTTACCTCTGAAGGGAGTTAAGCAGAATAAACAAAGCCCTGCCTGCACAGTTCAGAGGCCTGCCCCTGGCTTTCAACTTGATCAAAGCAGACTGTCGGGCGCACGTCTCACACGAGGAACTTCTGACGGGGGCATTGCTCTCTTCCTGCAGCTTAAAAGGGAATGCTTAAAAAATGGAGAAGAAAAGCACATGAGAACAGCTTTCGTCAGCCAGAATGGCCCAGTAGGTAACCGGCTGGCTTCCAGGAGGGGAGCAAGCGGCGACAGCACGGGAGTCCATCCCTTCCCGTCCAGTCCTTGGCCCGTGGTCCTTAGTTCTACAGTGGCTTTTGCCAAGCCCTCAGTCTTGGAGGGTACAGAATTGCAGAGAGAGAGAAAAAATTGCTTCAAAACTAGAATGGAAAAAAACGTTCCCTATCTTGATCTCAGAGGGCAGCTGCGCAGATGTATCCTCACAAGAAATGCCCAGGGCTGAATGCTGGGGGTGCGTGCACCTTATATACTTGGGTATTTGTATTTCACACCTCGATAGTATGTCTATAAACTTGTTTGTGCATTATAGGTATATGCAATAGTGGGGTTTATTTTGACATAGTCACAAGTGCATATAACATAGCTTTTTCCATTTTAATCCCCAGGACTACCTCTTTTCCTCTCTCTTCCCTCCCCCTGTTCCCTTCCTCTCCTCTATAGTCTTCCTCCTATTTATTTTGTTTATTTTTGGTACTAGGGATGGGACCCAGGGGTGTTTTACCCCTGAGCCACATCCCCTGCTCTTTTATTTTTTATTTCGGGACAGGGTCTTGCCAAGTTGCTTAGGGCCTCACAAAGTTGCTAAGGCTGGCTTTGAACTCATGATTCTCCTGCCTTAGCCTCCCACGCCACTGGGATTACAGGTGTGCGCCACCACACCAGGCACTTCGATTTAAATTGATGCCTTCTTGTTACATGTAAAATCGGGATGCATTGAGGTATCTTCGTGCATGCTCCTAGGATAATTTGGTCCATTTCATTCCCTCGTTCTCCCCTTTTCCCTCTCCGTCTCCCTCCCCCTTGTTTATAAATTTTTAAAAAGGATGAACCTCTCCAGGCAGAGCAATACTCATATTTTAACCATGAACTGTCTTCTGAAAACCTCAGTAGGTTCTGAAGGATCTTAAAAGAAACTACAAATGCAGAAGGGGCTTCCTTGGTCCCCCAACTCCAGCCTGCACCCAGAAGTGACCAGCTTTCCCAAAAGGATTTCTCCAGGAGAGAAAGTCAGTAGCCAAAGAAGACATCAACAGAGAGGAGAGAAGCCTACCCCTGCTTCCTGAGGCCAGGTGACATGACAGGGGCCCCCGCCCCAGCCAGGAGAGAGCACCTACCACCCACCACCCCAGGCAGAGCAATCAGAGAGGACTCTGATGGGCACAGCAGAGAGGCACTGGCCACACCTACCAAGCTGCAGGGCACCCAGGTCATCATCCACCTTGTCAGACGCCAGTGGTTGATTTTTCCTGGAAAAAAGAAAAGGTCAATGTGCTGGGGAGTGACAGAGAAATGCAAGCAGCAGAGGAGACTGGAAGGAATGCTGGTGGGAGTCCAGTGGCGGGGGTTCTTTCCAGCTCTGGCCCCGTCACCCAGAGTGTGGCTTCCCCTCTCTCAGCACAGGCTCCATGGCAATGACACCACCAAATGGCCTCCAAGGTGCCTGTCAATGCTGTGTTTCCAAAAAAGAGCCACCCACCCCGGCCGACATAGGACAGTCAGCTCCATCATTTGACACCTGCCAAGCCCTGGATGCCAACCCATTTTACTGATGTCACTATGATACTGCAGGGAGACACACACAAAGAGATCAAGTTCTTGTAATCATTGCACAGACGTTTTTCCATCTAATCTCTATGAGCTTTTTGTTTGTTGTCGCTCCCCAAGTGTCCTTGTAAAGTCGTTAGTTGCCATGTTTGAGACCTCTGAGATGTACCAACACGTTTAAAGGAACCTGCCCTGTATCTATCCCCCTGTTGTCTGAAAATTTGACCTGTGATTCTGATTTGTAAATTTGAGTCTATACCTGTTGCTTCCTTAACATGGTCCACCTGTATGGTCGGTCCCTTAGATTATTTTTGTCCTGGAGCATGCATCCGTCTACACTAAAGGAAAATAATTTTTTTTAAAGACTCCATTAAAAATAACAACATTACATCATTACATCACTCTCTGAAAGCCATTCACCATGTTTCAAAATGATGGCTCTTTTGAACGTGGCATTGAAATATTTCTTCCTCTAACATCCGTGCCGGGTAAGAGATGATTGAAGTAACAATCGGAGTCTTGCCACAGTACACTATTGAACCGGCTTCCTCCTGAAGATGTATGGAGGGTGTGAATGGAAGACCACAGAGGACGTCCAGTCCTCAACCCGTGAGCACGTGCTGCTTTGGACTCCTGCTTTCTTGGGCTGCTTTTAACCCGGGCCACCTCCCTCCCAGGCAGCCCCACCCTCTACTAGACCTCGCCACTCAGCCCTGCCATTTTCCTCCCTTCAAACCCCAAATCCCCTCAGTCCAACACCTCCAGGAGTCTATAGGTGCTCTTGATGGGGTGTGGGAGGAGGATGGGCTGGAAAGAGGGGTTAAGGCATGGAGGAGTGGGGGCGTGGGGGAGGGAGCCCATGGCCATGGGGAAGAACTGAGCTGCACGTGACCAGAAGCCTCTGCACCACGCTTGGCTGGGGAACCTGAGCCCCCTGACCTGTCCCTTCAGAATGGTCTCATCTGGAGACTAAGGCAAGGCACTATCCCCTTGCTGTGCCTCAGTGTCCCTGTCAGAAAAGTGAGCACAGAGGCAACAGCACTAGATGGCCTCCAATAAAGGCGGGGGACAACAGGGGCAAAGCCTGCTCACATCCACCCCACGTCCACCAGCGTCTCCCTCAAACCCACCGATGCTCTCAGCCTCTCCATCTCTCACCCAGATTATCTTCACCTTGTTGCTCTTCTGATTACTAGTGTGGCTCACCCCTCAGCCCCTCAGGGCTCCACAGGTCATCTTTCTATGAAGCACGTCTGACCACGACACTGCAGCCTGGCTGCAATGCTCCAAGGGTTCCCCATCATCGCCACCATTGCCATCAACAATGATGATTATATTTATTAAGAAAATAAGAACAACAACCAATCCCTTCTGACTCTCTTCAACGTTCCAGGCACTCTGCTAAGTGCTTTGCAAACCTCAGAATTCACCTCCTTCTCAGAACAGCTTGATGAAGCAGATATTTCAGCATCTCACAGAGGTTTAGTAATTTTTCCAGGATTACATAGCAAATTAATGGCAGCACAGGTGTAAACTCAAACAAGGACTCCTAAGGTAATGGCAATAACTACCACACATACAGTTTCCTTGTAAAATAAAACCCGGTCCATGAGGGTATCCTCCAAGGCTCTCCATGACCTGGCCACCTACTGCCCAGCCTCATCGCCCCCTGGGCCACTCTACTCTACCTGCTTTTCTTCTATGCTGAATATCTGAGCCCAGGCCCCTATACCTTTCCATAAGCTGCTCACTCCATGTAGAATGTCCTTGACAAGCTTATACTAATCCCCTAAAGCCTACCTGGAATGTTCCCTCCTTCCTTCTCAACTCCAAAGCATGTCGAGACTCATTTCTTCACTCACCCTCCCAGTATCTGTGTGGGGTTATCAGGCAGGCTTATCTCCCCACCCAGGGGAGACCCAGAGGTGTACGATGAACAGACATAAGCTACGCAGGACGTGGTGTGGTGGGCTGGCCCCCAAGCATACACACGTCCTAATCCCCATAGCCTGCAAATGTCACATGGCAAAAGCCATTTTGCAAATGGGATTGTGGAGGGTCTTGTGATGGGGAGGTAGGTCATCCTGGATTTTCCAGGAGGGACCTATGGAGTCCTGAAGACCCATATAAGAAAAAGGCAGGAGATTGACACAGAAGAGGAGGAGACGTGATGATAATAGGGGAGACAGGAGTGTTGTGCTTTGCAGGCGGAGGAACTGGCCACAGGCAGAGGAGGACAGGCAGGTGCCAGGGGTGAGAAGGCTCCAGCGCAGCCAGACTGCCAGCTCCTTCATCCCGTGGAACCCATCTCAGACATCAGCCTCTGGAACTGTGAGATAATAAATTCTAGTGTAAAGTCACTGGTAATCTGCTACAGCAACAAGGAGAAAGTAAAACCCCTGGTAAGAATTGTCACCAAGGAAGAAGAAAGAACTCTCATGGTCTCCCAGGACCCGGGGGTCCAGCTTGTGGCCAGTGTCCCATGAAGGCGTGTTGAATGCCCGAGTGACTCTCCCAGAATCTTGATGACTTACACAAGTTCTCACGACTCAGAAGTGACAGAGCCAAGACCCTGGGTCAGGCCGCCGGCTTCGAATATTCCACTTTCCTCTCTCCTCCTATTTGCATGTCTTTCTCCTGCCCAGAAGCTTCCATGGGATAAAAGGCAACCATCCCTACTGTTCCCTGGGCTCCTGAAGGCAGGCAGGTGGCCCTGAGCCATGATGGAGAGGGTGGGGATGATGTTCCCAGCGCAGAGGGAACAGCGGGGCCTCTCCCTGGTCACAAGACTTCCACCCAGAGGGCCATCCATCAGCTGTGAGAGCAGCTTAGAAGCTTTGTGCCTGTTTCCCATAGAGCTCCCCGGAGGAGCCTTCAAGTGACATTTACCCATGGAGCCTGTGCTTATTGTTCTTTTCATGTGTCCCTTTGTGGTGTCAGCTTTGAGTTTAGAAGGTCAGTTTAAAAGCATGTTCTTGCCTTTGAGTGAACACTATTATGAACAACAATGACAAAAAGAATCAAGGGGTTCAAATGCCACTTTCAAAGTGTAATTGTGCAGACGGCCCAGAGATGTGTGTCAAAGTGTGTGTCTAGAAAGTCCCCGGGGCCCAGGCAGCAGACACCCTGCTCTGCCTGAGGTCTCCGCCTCCGACTCCAGTTCCTCTCCGTGCCCCGTAGAGAGAAGTCGGGGCCAGGGCAGTGTGTTCAGGCCTACACAGGATCAGGACTCAATTCCTGAGTGGCTAAGTTCTGGCCTGAATAAAAAGTGCCACTAGGAGAGGTGGGTTCTTGTCCCTGCTCTCCCCTACTCTACATGGCCTTGAGCAAGTCACTTACCCTCTGTGGGTTTCAGGTTCTTGGGTAGTACCATGGGCGAAGCCTGAGGTCTCTACTCACCATGGAACACAGGGACTCTGAAGGACTGGCGTGCCCTGGTCACGGTCTCTTGTGGAAGGTCTTTCAAGCCCTTGTCTCCTGACAGGCTCCGCAGGAGCCTACCAGCTCTTAACATGACACAGACAGGAGGAAGGGCCCCGTTCCTCTGCGCTTGGCACTGGGCACATGAGTTAGTTATGGGTTCCAAAAGAAAGCTGATGCCTTAGAATTAAGATATTGATCACTTACTATCAAACTCGATTCAGTATCAGAACCCAGTGTCAATGGAGTTCAAATGGATCTCCACCCGTGTAACCCAAAATCTAGAATATAGGAAATCAACATAAATTTTTACCCATTCAGTGACACCCCCAGCACACCTAACCAAAGCAATGTAGAATTTTAAAAAAAAATGTCCACTGAAAATGTGCTTAAATTAAAAAACCCTTAAACATGCAAGAGAACGATACACCATGAGTAAATACCAGCAGACGGCACACAGAGCTCTCGGGAAATCAAGACAATAGAACGATAATCTAAGAGACACTGTCCATTAGAGATGAGAGAAAATATTTTAAAAGGGAATGGAAATTATAAGGAATAGAGACACTATGAAAAAAGAACAAGCAGCTTATGCAGTCCTGTCATAATTGATTTATGGGCGTAGAGTGATGGCAATGGATGACATGATGAATATTGAAAAAAATACATGAGTCTGGAGGAGAGGAGGTAAGGGAGGAGTGAAGGAAATATGGAGGGAGAGTGCGAGAGACAGAGAACAGAAAAGTCCTTCTCTACAGAACACTGCCAACCACCAAATGTACAAGGAAGGATAAAATGGGAAAAGTCACCATTTTATACCAATCTAATCCTTTATGGAACAAGATCATCAACATATACCATTAGATGAAAGGTGTTTGAGGAACAAGGTATTTTGAAAGTTACGAATTACTAAGTGCAAAAGGGAAATTATCTTATGACAGTGAAGACATTGACCTACACCACCTTATGAGTGGTCCTACTTAATATTACCAAGAATAAAACAAAGTGACATTAGGAGCTCCTGGTGTGACATGATGGGAAGGACACAGCAGCACATACACATTGTTTCTGCCCAGAAAATGCTTAAGGTAAACCTAGGAAGAGACAGACCTGCAAATCTAGAATATAAGCATCCTTCAGACAATAAGTTAATGCTCTTTGTGAAAAACTGAAACTATATGAGATTAAAATAGACCCGAGATACAAGTCAACTAAAACAATGGGTGAACCCTGAATGGATCCTAGATTGAAAAATAAATAAGTCCGAGAACACTTAGGGGAC